CCCCCCGAACTGTCAGTCCCATTGTTTTCTCCTCCAGATTGTTCATCCAGCCTGTCCTATCCAGACAGGCCTGCGGAATAACTTTTCTGATTCCCACACCTGTAAGTAAAAATTTAACTCAAAGGCACCCAACCACAACAAAATGACAAGGAACGGCTAACTCTGGCCTTACTCCCAGCAAACATGGGCTTGTCCTTTTGGCCCTCTATGGTACTTTCACGATGCTTCCACCTCGGTGGGGACAGACAATATGTGACTAATGCTGTGGGCATCGTTTCGTGTGCCTACTGTCCATCATAGATCTACATAGGAGAAATGTGTGCTCAAACCCTCTCCTCATTTAAAAAATTGTGATGTTTCTCTTTGGGTTGTTGACTTATAGGGAAGGAATCCTTTATATATTCTGGATATTAAATCCTTCTTGGATAGATCATTTCCAAGTCTTTCCTCCCATTTTGTAGCTCATCTTTTTGTAGCTTTCTTGATTATGTCCCTTGCACAAAATTTTTAAGTGTCATGAAGTCCAATTTATCTTATTTTTCCCACTTCATATGCTTTGGGGCCTTATCTAAGAATCCATTGCCAAAAACAATGTCTTGAAACTCTACCCTTATATCCTCTCCTAAGAGTTCTTATGATTTTCGGTCTTGTGATTAGGCCCATGATTTCCATATTTTTTGCATTTGGGAATCCATTTTCCCAGCATCACTTATTCTTTCCCCGCCGAATGGGCTTGGTGCTCTCGTCAAAAAGCCATTGGCCACAGAGAGAGAATGGGAGGTCTTTTGAGAACAGAATGTTTTAGATAACTGAGCCATATCTCTAAACTCCAGTGGCTTACTGTCACTATTTTTTTTAATCACGTAACTCCTAAAATGTATCATATCCATGGACTCCTTAAAATAATTAACGGGCTGTTTGTTTTTCTTCCTGAATGACTGGGCGTCTTCACTAGGAACTGTTCCTGGGGAGATGTGTGTGGTCACAGGCAGCTCAGGTCTCAGGAAACAAAGCACAAGCCATCTCTTTTCCCCCAGTGCAGGGAGGACAAGCCTTCCGATGACGATCATCATTGAGTCTTACTAAGAGCTGCTGGCAGGCACACCGAATTGATGTCATCCCACCCAACCCGCAAATGCTGGATACCTGGAAACACCTGGCTGAAGGCCACAGCATTGGTGTGTGCTGCCTCCCACACCCTGGCCCTGCTCTGCCAATGGGCAGGGAGACAGTGAGTGGTGCTAACAGGCGGAACCGGCCCCGAAGCACCTCCCACCTTCCACAGTTAGTGCATCTCCTAGGATTCCCCCACTGCTGTTTGTTTGTTTGTTTGTTTCATATCTATGTATCTGTCTATGTATCTCTTTTTGTTCTCCTTAATTAATTACCCGCGGCTTGCTTCTAGAGTGATTCGGTTATTTTCTAACCCTCGAGTCAGCTGCCATCCGTTCTCAATCCTCTTTTCTAACGTAAACATTGAGGTCTCAGGCTTTCCGGTCTTAGCAGTATTTATTGCACATGTGTCGATGTGTAATATTCTCAGTATCATTTGGCTCTAAGCATTGTCTCTTCCCTATCTTGATCCTTCTTTAATTTAAATGTATAGGGCTCACATTGCCTTCTGATCATCAGAAATGCTCCTCGTTAGAACCCTTTGAATGCAGCATATACCTGATCATGGCCAGAATCCAGTCACCTGACTAGACCTAAGCTGCAAGGGAGGCTGGGAAATGTAGTCTCAATTCTTGACAACAATGTGCCTAACAAATTTGGGGATTCTAGCCCTGGTGGCATAATGGCTATGTGTTGGGCGGCTAACAGCAAGGTTAGCAGTTCGAAGCCACCAGTCACTCTGAGGGAGAAAGACGAGACTTTCTATTCCTATAAAGAGTTTCCGTCATAGACACTCCCAGGGGCAGTTCTACCCTGTCTTATAGGGTTGCTATGAGTTGGCATCAACTCGATGGCCATGAGTTTAGTTTGGTTTGGGTAGTATTAAAAGAGAGACATCTAACTGAGAAACAACAAAGCCCACATGGAAGAAGCACACCAGCCTGTAAGATGACCAGGCGGGGAAGGGGTCAGGTATCAGGCATCAAAGACAAAAAAAAAAAAAAAAAATCATAACATTGTGAATAGGGGAGAGTACAGAGTGGGGACCCAGGGCCCATCCAGGGGAAATTGGACAGCCCCTTGCAGAAGGGCTGCGGGGAGGTGAGCAAATCAGAGTGCAGTGTAGTAACGATGATACGTGCAATTTTCCTCTAGTTCTTAAATGTTTTCTCCCCCCCCCTCCCCCGACTACCATGATCCTAATTCTGCCTTGCATATCCGGCTGGACCGGAGGATGTGTACTGGCACAGATAGGAACTGGAAATACAGTGAACCCAGGACAGATGAACCCCCCAGGGTTAGTTGAGAGGGTGGTGATGGCGGGAGGGTGGAGGGAAGGTGAGGGAGAAAGGGGGAACAGATGACAAGGTCTGCATATGGCCTCCTCCCTGGGGGACGGACAGCGGAGAAGTGGGTGAGAGAGACATCGGATGGGGTAAGATATGATAAAATAATAATAATTTATAAATTATCAGGGGTTCGGGGGGAAGAGGGAGCGGGGAGGGAGGGGAAAAAATGAACTGACACCAGGGGCTCAAGTGGAAAGTGGGTGTTGTGAGAATGATGAAGTCAACATATGTACTAATGTGCTGGACACAAATGACGTATGTACAGATTGTGATGAGTTGTATGAGCCCCTAATAAAATGATTATTTAATAATTTTTTTAAAAAGAGAGAGAGGCCCTCTGGTATAGTCAGTTTCTCATTGATCCACCAACCACAAGATGAGCAGTTCGAAACCACCAGCTGCTCGGTGAGAGAGAGAGATGTACAGTCTCAGAAATCCACAGGGACAATTTTACCCTTGCTATGAGTCAGCATGAACTCGATGGCAGTGAGTATAATTAAAAGAAGGAGTCCTGTTGGCAGTGTGGGTTAGGCATGGAGCTGTTAACCAAGGAGTTGGAGGTTCAAGCCCCACCAGCCACTCCTCGGGAGAAAGATGAGGCTGGCTGGTCAAGTAACAGTTTCAAAAACCCTATGGAAAGATTCCACTCCGTAATGATTGTACCATTCTTCTTGATAAGAGTGAACTACTGAATTGAATGATATGTGGATTATGTGCAAATAAAACTGTAAAAAAACAGAAAGAACAAAGGAAAATTCCACTCTGTCCCATGGGGTGACAGTGCAGTCAGGATCCACCCAGCAGTGGTGGGTGTGCTTACAAAGCAAGGGGCCCTGGTGGCACGGTGGTGAAGTGCTTGGCTTCTCATGGAAAGGTGGGTGGTTCGAACCCACCCAATCGCTCCTGGCAATCCGCTCCTATAACAATTCCAATCCAAACTTGCTGCCTTCGGGTCAGTGCTGACTCGTTGCCCCGCTGTGGGTTTCCAAGAACGTTGAACGTGTACGGGAGAAGAGAGTCCAGTCTTTCTCCCATGGAGCGGCTGGTGATTTCGAACTGCCGACCATGTGGACCGCAGCCCCGCGGCGCGTCACCACCACACCAGATGACAGCCTAGGAAACCTTACACGGCAGTGCCCCCGAGTCACACAGACCGGTGACATGATGAAGGAATGGAGACTGGCTAGGAGAAGCCCACCAGCCATGGCTGCTACCCTCTCCTGTCAACACACTTTAACCGAGGGCTGGGGGGCCCCTCTTGCTATTTCAGAATCCTGGAGAAAGATGAAACTAACATTGACGCCTGCCAGATTCTAGCGGTGCACGAGCTGGCCAGAGAAGGAAACATGACCAGAGTAAGTCCTTTCAAGACGCAGACGCTGCGCCTGGAGACAGACAGCGGGCCAAGAAGGAGCCCTCCCGTGGCATGCCCCTGGCCCCACCAGCCTTGCACCATGCTCCCTGGATCTCAGCGGCTCCCTTGCCCACCCCGCCCTCTTCTCCTGCCAAGGAAGTCTGTTCTGGGTTGGTTCTCTCAGGGTCCCCATTCCCGTTTTGATTCTGGCTCTGCCACGTGGAGCTGCATGAGTCTGGGCAGGTGTTTCTACCTGGATGAGGCTCAGGGTCCTCCCTTTACACTGTGGAGAGAACCCCTCCCACCACCACTCCACCACCCCACCAGGCTTGGGAGTGTGTTTGGAAACGGAATGAATTCAGTGGTAGAGTTCACAGCAGTGCCTGGTGGCTGTAGTCATTCCGTCGGTGTTCGAGTGTTCTGGAAAGGCCGTTGGGGGGAGGATGGTTGGAATTGCTCAGGCCTCTTGGCCGGGCAGAACCTGGGGTCAGACTCGCCCCTAAGGCTTCCAGTCTTCCCCGGAAACGTAAAGGGGGCCTCAGAGGCATGAAAACGCACCTGGAGCTCTTAAGGGAAGTACCAACATCCAGACCGGCTCTTATTGTTTAAAAAAGGAAAGTCTGTATTCTTCGCCACAATCTGCCCTTTGACTAAACGAGAGAGAAAACAGTATCTTCATTTGTAGGAAGCATAGCAGATCACGCCTTTCTGGGGGATGGAGGTTCTCTCAGGGGTCGGGCAGGAACAGGAAGCTCCGGGCCCCTTCCCCACAGCCCTGAGACATGGGTTTTGTGCTGGGAATTGAGCTGCAGCGGGAGGGAGGGGACGGTTCACAGCGGGAAGAAATCCTTGGAAATGGCCCCAGCACTCTTGGTGGGAACAAAATAGCTTCCTGGGGCCCAGCCTGAGGTCACTCCTAGAGGCAAGTTAGCACTGAATACCCCTCCTCCGTCCCCCACTCGAGGCTCTGCGCCCCCTCTCCCACTGGGCCCTGGGTGCCCAGCTCTGATCTCCCTCTCTGAACCTCACAGACCCACCCCAGGGGGTGGGGCGGCTGCAGTGTGAGCTGTGAGCTCTGGCTCCTGGCTCTTCTGGGCAGGGCAGAGGGGCAGCTTCTCTTCATAAACTCAAGAAAAGGGGACAGCATTGTGTCTTGAGTGGACGAGGCTCCCCGAAGCCCACCTGATGGGATTTAAAGTCATACTGATAGCTGGTTTCCTTTCTCCTGCTGAACCTGCTGCCTTTGGGCCAATACTGACTCACGGTGAGCCTGCAGGACAGAGTAGAGTTGCCCCATTGGGCATCCGAGGCTGTCAATCTTTACACGCTGGATGCCTCATCGCTCTCTCGTGGAACAGCTGGTGGGTTCAAACCACCCACAGTTGCCCAGTTAGCAGCTGAGTGCTTTAATCACTGCTCAATCAGGACTCCTTTTCCCCCCACCCCCACCCCCATTGTAATCCTGTTCAATAGAAGTCTCTGGAGACTGAGTTGGGCACAGGGATTAAAAAAGAAACCAATTGTAATGTGGGGCTGGGGCTGAGAACCATGGGCCACAGGTCTTAGCATGCCATGTGACTTTGGGTACTGTTTTATCCCTGCAGGCGGTTGAGCACATCAGAAACCTGATGAAGGCGCTGGAGATGAGAGAGCCCCAAAATCCAAGCCTCCACCTTAAAAAAATCCTCGTGGTTAGCAGACTGGTAAGGCTCTTCCCTGGTTTGTGAAACGGTTTCTCTCTCCTTCAAGGGGACGTCTGTTCCTCTTCACTCTGCCCTGCTCTCCCCCACACCCCCGCCTGCCCCACTTACCCTTGCAGCTCCATCCAAGCCAGGCTGTAGCCCACCCCCATGGCCTCTCTCTACCTCTGACCTGTGGACCCTAAAGCCTTGGCCCAGGTGCCCCTCAGCGGTGTTGTGCCTCTCAGGGTGAGGAGGTTTGAGAGCCTGTGAGAGTGGGGGCCGTTTCCCCCGGGGTCCAGAGAGATGGTGCACAGATAGATCCATGTCAGGCGGCAGCCTCGGAGCTGCTGGGGACCCCCAGCTCCCCAAGCCTTTTGGAAGGCCCGTCCGCCCAAGGCCTCTCTGACACAAGGCATATTGTCAAAGAACCTGTGCCTCTGTGAGCCCCTTCAGCAAAGCTCACTGGCCGGGACTCCTGTAAGAATCAAGGCAGCCCCGGGGCCTAAGCCACCAGGACTGAGGCAGGCCTTGGATGCCCATGAGAAAGCGCCCTCTGCGTCATGTTGGTATCTGACTCTGCCTCCTTCTGGGGCCAGAAAGAGCTTCTTTCCCTCGTCCTCCCAACTTCTGTCTTTGGCACACCCTTGCCAGCTTCCTGGAGGCGGTGGACAGGCAGGGGATGGATACCTCAGAGGGCCTAACTTGGGGTGGGGGTGGGGGGTCAGGTTCACAGGTGTAGGGGATTTTCGGGAGAGTGGGACAGCGACACAACCCCATTGCCTGGACCTAAGTGCCTCCGGGGCCCTCTGAGCCCACCTGGTCCGGCCCACGTTGTTTCCTGCCTGACAATGACAACGTGGCCCTGCTCAGGCTAGAATGACTAGTGTGTGTGTGTGTGTGTGTGTCTGCCCCCACAGTGCGGAAGACAGCAGCCGATCCTACGGCTGGTGTGCAGCTTCATCGAGCGTACCTTCGTGGCCACACCCTCCCACGGCCACGTGGCCACAGAGCTGGGCTACCTCTTCATCCTGCAGGACCAACTCAAGGAGGCCGAGCTGTGGTACTCGGAGGCCGTGAAGCTGGATGCGAATAACATTGCCGCCCTGAAAGGTGGGAGCCCAGCAGGGCAGCTTCTGGGGGCTCCAAAGAGAGTGTTGGGATGTTTTCCCCAGAAGGCGTGTACGTTTGGGGCCCACTCTCCCCAGCCCCCGCAAACGTTTTCAAGCCCGCTCAGGGAGGGACATAAGGGGTGTGGGAATTGGGGGAAGGAGCAGAGCCCCTCCAATGTACATCCAGCTCAGGCCCCCGAGGTCCACACTGACTCCCCCAGAGGACTGACAGCCCAGCCCTCCCACCCAGCCCACCTGCCTCAGCTCAGTGCCACCCCCCCCCCCAAAGTGAGCATTGGAAACTGCCCTGCTCAACTACTCTCCTTTCCTCCCTCCCTCTGCCCCCACCTGCCTCTGAGCCCCATGGGGTTTTACTTCCTTATCGGTCTAGATGGTTTTGTTTTTCCCAAACATCCTTTCTACAAATGTCAAGTGTCCCCCGCCCCGCCCCACCCAGCCCCGTTTCCATTTTTTTCTATCCCCAATCCATGGCTCCTGGTGAATTTCAAGCCAGCCACCTGTCATTTGGGCCGAGAGGACAGCTCGGTTCCTGGCCTAGCTCTGACAGGCTGTGTGCTGTGAGGCAAGGCATTTCTCTGAGACCCCCGCACCCCGCCCTCCCCGCCATGGACCATGGTCCGAAGAACTGGTCTTGATTGCTGGTGCAGCAGACCAGGTGCAGCCCCTCACGCCCATGCTTCTCCCTCGTCCCCACCTGCCACAAATGTACGGAGACCCTGAAGGAGTTCACAGTCCTGAACGAGGCGAAGCAGATGGCATGGACTATGTGGGTTGCAAGTGATAGGTCTAGAGCAGTGGTTCTCAACCTTCCTCATGCCGCGACCCTTTCATACAGTTAGTTCCTCATGTTGTGGTGACCCCCAACCATACAATTATTTTCGTTACAACTTCATCCCTGTCATTTTGCTACTGTGATGAATCAGGCGACCCCTGTGAAAAGGTCATTCAACCCCCAAAGGGGTCTCAACCCACAGGTTGAGAACCGCTGACCTAAGGCCTTCCCCACTTCCCGTTCAAGGGGAAGCCCCGACTGGTTTAGCCAGAAGGGAAGCCCGTGCTCTGAGATGATCTGGCCCGGCCTGTCTGGGAAAATCTAACACCGACCCTGTGCCAATTTCCGGGGAAATCTGCCCCACCTGCTGACACTCACCGATCTAGCTCACCATTTGTAAGTCTCCCAGCCCTCTGAGAGGAACCCCGCGAAAGATGAAATCGTGTAAGGCCACAGTCAGGACTGGTTCCACGGTGTGACGCCAGAGTCGGGACTGGTTCCACAGTGTAAGTCCATGAGACAGGACAGGTTCCACGGTGTGACGCCATGAGTCAGGACTAGTTCCACGGTGTAAGGCCATGAGTCGGGACTGGTTCCACGGTGTAAGGCCACAGTCAGGACTGGTTCCACAGTGTGACGCCATGAGTCAGGACTGGTTCCACA